TCCAGCAGTCGTTTAAGACACAACAGCACCATCTACCGAGACTAACCTCCTGCGGTGAATGCTAGTATGCCTTGAAAAATACGTTAGATAAAAGATACATTATTCAACTGGTATAAGTACTATGTTATTAGTGACAACGTGTTGAGTAAAAAGGAAAAGGAAACTTTTTTAATCTTTCCATGAAAACCGTTAAACTTTACCTATGAATGTTGCTTTTCTCAAAGCTGAGGAAAACACTGCTTCCATCTCAGCAGTCAAGGTTGAGAATAAAATCAGTTATCATATAAATGATATTTTGTGGGTGATATGCTTCATTTGTCCTGCTGCACACACATATTAAAACAAAGGGGAAAATCAACATAGTTGTTCCATCTTTGTAGTATATAGCAATCTCCTACTGAGATATACAAGTTTTCAGCACAATAATTAAGAAACTACACTTTTTCTGGGAAGGTGGTGGTTTGAATCTGCTTCTTTATAGACTAGATTCAGCAACGCATGACTGTGAACTGTCTGAGAAGTAGCATCAGATGGCATCCAGCCCTAGTTACTGTATTAGCTCAGTATTTCAAAGCATTTTTATCACCATTTTATGGCTTACAATGCAATTTCTCTTCATCCTGTATTAAATAATCAGCCACAACCACGGCAAGATGATCTTTCAGTATTCTTTTTTAAAATCTCATATATATTGTTTCTAGGCACTCAGCTTAATATGTCTTGACACTGTCTTTGATTCAGTGCCTAAAAATGCACACTCTGCCTGGCTGGTTGCCTGGCTGATTTGCTTAAATCTGCTTTTAAGAAACACTGAAGACATTGATATTCTGTCTCACTTAAACAAATAAATACAGTCTGCTTTGTAGAAAGCAGATACCGTGTACTTCCTCTTTTTGTTCCTGTTTAATAGGATCTGGAGACTGATTAAAGAAAGAAAGAAATAACAAAAATCCTGTAAGAGGTTTTGAAGGAGATAACACTAGATTCATGTCTATAGCAGGTTCTACGGAGCTTCACTGTTTCTGCTTATTACTTTTCTGTGGCCTGATGTCCTTTAGACTACAGTAACAAACTGATGCATATTGATATACAGGTGTTCAAGAAACATCCTCTTTAATCAAACAGTTGAAAATTCATGAGCAGAAAGGAAAACCTGTGCCAAGAATGTAACCCCCACCTGCTTTTGCATTTCCACATGCATCATTTGCACTTGTCTGGACCTTGGGTATGGTCAGCTGCAACTCTGGATCTGTATTTCAACTTTCAATCTCACCTCACTATCACACTTTCCTGCCTCCTGCTTAGGTTTTCTAGCTTTTCTTTTTATTTTTTTTTAAATCTGAATTTTAAGGATTGATCAATATTCATTAAGTAGCACAACATAGATAGGATGACATTATAAAATCTCTGTAGTTTCCTATATAACATTTTAATACACATATGATCAAGATGATTTGAAAAGCAAAAGTTACAGGAATGATACAGCAATTGCATGCAAATTGCACTGAGACTACTCAAACTTTTTTTCTAAAATAAGGACAGATATCAGGTGCTGGCCCTGAGTGGGAAACCCTGGTGCAAAGACACAGGCTGGCCCCTGTCAGGCTGGGAGCAGCAATGTGGGAAGAGACCCAGATGCATGGGCAGGCGCAACCTGGGAATGAGCCAGCAGCATGTCCTGGCTGCAGGGATGCACAGCAGCATCCTGGGCTGTGTTAACAGGGTCAGAGCCAGGATACAAAGGGCGGGATTCTCTCCCTCTGCTTGGCACCTCTATGATTTCGTTTTCAATCATCAGCTGTGTCTGATTTTTGGTCTCTGGTCCAGAACAGACATCAACAAACTGAAATGAGTTCAGTGTTTGGAGACTGGAACATTGTCCTGTGAGAAGGGCTGAGGGACCAGGGTTTTTTCAGCCCGAACAGAGGCTTTGGAGGGATGCAGTACCAAGATGGACCAAGAAGATGGAGTCTGGTTCTTCAGTGGTGCACACTGGAAGGATGGGAAACAATGAGCATAAACAGAAACAAGAGAACTGAGAAAAGCATATGGCAACAGTGAAGGAGTGGAACAGATTGCCCGAATAGGCTGTGAAGTCACCAAGCTCACCGCTTTAGAGTGGTGTTACTGTCCCTGTATACACCTTCTTTCTCTCCTTAACTCAAGTACTCCACAGATTCATTAGTGCCTCTTCACTTTTCATTTTTACTGTAAATATGAGCACTGATACCTTCTGGCTATCCATATGCTCAACTACGACAGTTTTAAGCTTCATGAACACATCAAGTTTAAGCTTTAACAATCCAATCGCAAAATGAAAACAAACTCATTCTGTGCTTCATTCAACACTCTCACACATACTAACAGCAATAGTTACAACAGCAGCAACACCCCTTAACCGTTATACATACATTGAATTTTTCCAGAAGTTTTCTTGATGAGGCAGACCAAAATATTATGAAAGCCTTCTATTACTAAGGACAAGGCTTGGGTATACAATATGAAAAACCTCTTAAACACTGCATTTTCAGCAATGTACAATGAAAGCAATATGCTTAGCTGATGTTTGAGAAAAAATTTCCCAAGTCTAAGGTGCAACAAGGCTAAAAAATAATCCTATCAGGCATCCAAATAGGTCATGAAGGGTTGCTCCGGGGAGCAGGAAACATCTACTTGTCCTCCATTTGTGCACAGCCTAACACAGCAGAAAGTAAATCCAAGATTAGGCCTAGCAGACTTATACTAGTGTGTGTAACAAATAATGGAATGTGCCCCTTGGCAACAAAAACTGTGTCAGATAACATCAGGCCATGTATGTATATAATTATGCAAACAAAACTGGACCCAAGTTGAATAGCTGCTTAAAAATATCCTTCAAGGCCACATTTTTAAGTTCCTCAGTTTCACATGAGCAAAGGTATATGTACACAGAATGGTTGAGGTTGGAAGGGACCACTGGGGATCATCTAGTCCAACCTCCCTGCTCATGCAAGGTTACCTAGAGTACATTGTTCAGGATTGTGCCCACACAGCTCTTGTATAAAAAAATAAGAAAAAATAATCTTTGCAACTGCATAGTTATCTAACTTATTTATATGCAAAACTGTTTGTTGTGTTTGGTTTTGTTTGGTTTGTTTCTCTTAGCAGCATCTTGTCTGCACTATGGGCTCATTGAAACACTTAAACATAAACATCAGGAAGGTGAATATGAACACTGTATGCATGCATGAGTTTAAGACCCTTTCAAAGTTTGGCTCTAAGATTACTAACAGCAGAAAATCTGAGAAAACCCTTCATGTATGCTGGTTAATGTTAAGGTATGTTTTCCATTCCTTAAGGATCCTGCCAAATTTAAGGGAAGAAAGAAGGGGAGGGAGAGCAAGATATAAAGTACTCATTGTTCCTACTAAGTTTCCTTTTTGGGCTATTTTATTTTATCATTTACAGAGAGTATTGTTTTACTTCAGTAGGGAAGAGAACTTGGATCCTTAATTCAGCAAGTGAACTTTATCCAAGCTTTATGCATACGAACAGTTCCTGTGACTTTAGCATAGCTTACTATAAGTTTGAGACATGCTAAGATGTTCTGTTAACTCAGATCTCTGTGCACATAACTGTCTTTGAAATTATTTTTTCATCACTTCTATAAAGCATTTGCCTTGTTTGGATCCTAGTTAATGCTATCACTATTTCTCCTTCTCCTTCCTTCCAGTGTGCTTGGCATCCTGCACAGGAAAAGGGGGGAGAAGAAAAAAAGTAAACCCATCAGTATCTTTGCAGTGGATGAGCAATGGAAATAGTGGGAACAGCAACAGAAAGAAGTAGTCTGGTCTGAGAACAGATGGGGTTTCTGCCCCTATTCCCCCCCCCCTTTTTTTTTATTTATTTTAATAAAAAAGAAACATGCCTTTTTTTTTTCTAAAAAGGCTGAGACTTAATCCATTTTTTATATGTAACGCTCATAGTTAGGAGTTGAATGAGAACTGGAAGGAGTTCTGACATTGGGTGTAGGGCTACAGAGAGGGACAATACTTGAGTCTGAACTATGGGACCACAGGACCAAAATTAACTGGCAGAAGGAAAGAGGCAAGAGACTGAAAACACAAGCAAAAGCATCAATGTTGTAAATGGAGTGAAGGAAAGGCAAAACAGTCCTTTGTATCAGCCTCCCTGACACAAAGGATTCAGCGAAGCCACAAAGCCAGGTTATGTAGTTACAAATACTGCTTGCTGTCAGATCAGCGGGATCAGTTCTCTGTCCCCACAACATGGGGAGTGAGACATCTGAATTGAAAGCAGAACAGCTTACACATGCAGGTCACTAGATTTCACAAGATCAGGAAAAGGTACTGGGAGGTCTTGTTTGCAACCACACACTATTACATCTGAATAAACATAACCATTAACAGAAAAATAGTGATAGTGAGACAAGCATCAGATTGCAGCTCTCATGCAACCAAGAGCATGAAATAGAAGATGAGATAAAGCAATCTACAGAGAGGTTTCCTAGGGGAAAATAAATAACATATCCTTCAGTAACAGAAAAATGTGACACAATTGTAGCAAGGAACTTCTCATTTAATCTTTCTCGACTTGCACTGTAAAGCACATTTACCTTTTCTGTACACAGATACCAGTATTTTTGACTGTAGCAGCTGGATTGGACTTGGACCTGAAACAACTGGAGGACCTGCAAAGTTTCCTTGCCTTGAGCAACAAACAATGCAGGGCATGCAATTTTAGCTCACGAGTGGGATGCAGGTTTTCTCGGACTTCCAGTCAGCGGTATGAGTGAATGTGAACAGAAGTCAACCTCTGCTACTAGATTACACCTACCTTACTGCTTGAGTGAGCCTATCAAGTTGTGTGAGACATGACAGGTAAAAATACCAAACCCTATGCCAAGGGCTTCACACATCCACTTCACCGAAACAAAGGAGGTTGAAAACACATCTTGTTTTGAAGGCTCTTATTACATTCAGTACTGTATGCAGGCTTACATTTTTGAGATTAAGCATTTTCTATCAGCTGTACATCCAAATTCACTGAGTCTGTGCATGTAGGAAGCAGGTGGTAGCAACAACAGCTCATAATGCAAGGTGTTGTGATGTTTTAAATGGAATTCTCTGTCATGACTCCTGCAATGATGCACAGTGCATTGTGCACCACTGCACTGTCCCTGAAGAAACTATACTAAACCAATCTCAAGGTAGGAGGGGTTTGTTTGTTCAATTACACTTGTATCATGCCAGAACTGAGGTGACTAGGACCCCAACCACACATGGAAAAAAACCATATAGTATTCCTTGTGCTGTATGCAAACACCGAAAACCAGAAGAAGAAACTAAAACCCACACACGAGAGCATGCTTGAGAGGTTCTTAAAACTATTTTATCACGGTAACTGAGAGTGTAAAAATGTAACTAATGATTTGTTACCTGCTCTATTTCATCACAAAAATCATGGTGCATACATTCTCTTCAGCTCCCGAAGGACACAGGCTGGATGCAGCTCGTCAGTCCACCAGCCTGCTGCATCTGCAAGCCTTGAAGCAGATGCGATGGTACATTGCTCAGAGCCATCCAAGGCATGCTTCTCCTGACTGCAGCTTCATACCACGACCACCTGGAGGCAGAGAGCAGATCCCACATCACCCACATAACCACTTCTGCACAGCTGGGCAGCCTCAGCTCAGTTTGCATGGGACTTTCAGCTCCTCAGAGTTTAGAAGATAGGGTGGTGAGGAAAAGATAGCTGCCACGAAGACTTAAGTGCAAAATGCCAACTTAAATCATGGAAATACAGCCCTGTGAAACTGGTGATTTTCCTCTCAGAAATTCAGCAGTAATCAGCCATCTTTTTATTATGAACCTCCGATAGAGTTGACAGGGGAATGGTATAGGTAGAGCACATATTAAAAAATAATTTTAAAAGTCACTATTTATGCTGATGATTTCTTCACAATAGAATCTGCCCTAGAGTTGGCCCAAAATTAACACTGTTATTAAAAAAAAACAAAAAACATTTGAAGTATTTCCATGTTTATTAGGCTTCTTCCAGACATTGTTTGACAGTATGAAGGATGGGATTAAGATGTCTAAGTACTCCTACTAAAGAAAGACAAAACAGCATTTGAGCTAATTTGCTTTGCCAGAAACATACTTTAGGGTCAAAATTAGCATTCATGTTGCCTGTTTTTAAACAGAAAACCCTTTCCCCTCTATGGGTTACCTGTTACCACTGTTTTCAGCTTTCAACTAATTTCTCAGAAAAGGCACAAAATTAGACAGCATGATATAAATGTAAACAGCCATCATTTAAAAAGACAGTGAAAAAAAAAAGGTGTAATTTGCTTGATCAGTCATCATACAGCACAGATATCACTGAAGCTAGTACCTCTGCATTTCTGCATGGGAATGCATGTTACAAAGTAAGATTGGGAATACTGTCCATAGGTATTCAAGTGGCATAGATTACTCCTTAGCTGTTACATTTAGGTCAGGTAGTTTTCTAGACAAGATACCCGCCAAAGAGAGAAAATGAAAATCTATGGAGTTTGTCTAAGGAGAACCTAGGCCTTAAAGAGGCAGGAATAAAAAGTTAATCACTTTGCTGTATTCCACCAAACACAGATAGCAACATGTGGGGGGGCAGTGGAAATACCCCCAGGTGCCGCAGGGACATCTCTCCCTAGCTCCCGGAGCCCCTCCTGCCCTGCTCCCGCTCTGCCCTCGGGGCTCTCAGGGCTGTTTCTCACCCGGTTCCCCTCAGCCCCGGCTGCCGGGCACCGTTTGCCCTTCCTTACCCAGGCTTTCCCGAGGCGCCCGCCCGTGGCTGAGGGGCTCAGCTCTGCCCTGCGGTGGGGTTGGTGGACCAGGCTGGGACCAGCCTCTCCTCACAAAGGCTGCCCCTTCTGCCCACCCTGCTGCTCTCCACACGCACATCAAAACCTCCCTAAAGGCCTGATGCACTTGCTCATAAGAGGTCGTGGTGTTGCAGGAGTCTCTGTCCTTGGAGACACTCAAATCCCAGCCAGACATGACCCTGACTAAACTTGTCGGTGCTGCTCCGAGCAGGGAAAGTGGTCTAGTTGATATTGTTGGTCCATCCAAACGATTCTTATGACTGTATGGCAAACGCTGGTTGTCTTTAGAATTAGTACTCCTCCATCACTACTGTTAAAATTTGCAATAAAGCTGTAGCAATGCAAAGGCATGTCTGCTGAATCTGGACTGAAATACCAAACCGGAAGGTTTGTATTGATCAACTGAAAGCCAACATTGCAGGCTTTATATCCGGAAGCTATTGCCTAATCTCAATGTCTGTGGATACACAGATGCCTTTGCTCTCTGAACAATATCCTAGGGCATTTTGGATGGCAGAGGGAAGGGAGAAGGGAGAGTAAAGGGCCTTTATGGGAACACTGAGTAGTTTTGAGTGGGAAAGTGTCCAGTTACTTACTAGAAAAGAATGTATTAACAGAATGTATTATTGCAGTTATTTATACATACAAGTCAAATGTAATTAAGCAGCAAATGCCTCAACTGAGAAAAAAATGAGCAACAGAAAAGATTATCATATTTGTCTTTTAGCCATGATGTTAATTTAACTCGGCTCCCAGGTTCAAAATATACTATTATTTTGGATTGGTAGCTCACATTTCATTGACAGCTTTTCCCCAAAAGGATACCAGCAGGAGTTTAAATGTATCACTACAATTTGAAGGATGTCAGAAGCTTGGAAACAACAGTACAGCCCTCATTCAGCATTTAGGATAACCTGGGAAAGACAATCCTTTTATACTGTTTGCCTTCAGAGCTATTGCTCTGGCCAACTTTACCTCATTAGTTTAACTGATGTTTTTCCTTTCTCTAAAAGTTCTTGCAGAATTATTTGTACAAGCAAACATCCTGTATGTGAAGCCATTCACCTGAGAAGAAAGAAAAATTAAGCATGCTTTAGAAACCTAGCATCTTATGTTACTTGTCTCCAGTTTGCCAGGAGCACTGGAGAGACCACTGCGAGGGGGAGGAGGCAGAAGGAAGATAAGGGAGCAAATGGCAGCATGCATCAGCTTTTATATACAGATTAGCCTTTATCTTAAGACATGAAACTTTCAGACAACACTCTCAGAATATTATCTTAAGTGATTTCAAATTCAAGCAGGATGAACAGAATAGCTGAATATTTTGAAAGATAAACAGCCTCTTAAAATTACCATTATGAAGGTCTTAAATTACAGGAGATTAGGGACAAATTTGGAAAGCTTCAGGCTAAGAGACCAAGCTTTTCACAATGAGCAGCATTGTATGACTTTTAAGTGTGATTAAAAAAATCACTTTACTTCAGGCAACCATCAGCAAATAACATATTTTTTTTTAAGGCCTCAAAAAGAAAAAAAGGGAAATATGAAGGCTGTCTTTCCTTGAGTCCAAAATTCAATAGTGAAGGAGATTAGGGACCACTGTGTTCATTTCAATCCTAAGAGATCTCTGTCTTAAGGAATTTGTAATAGTCACAGCTGAGGAAAAACCTCACTGTGTCTACATGGTTCATTTCTTCCTTAACTTTCAGGCTACTGTTTTGGGTTAGTATCCTAAAATTTTCTATTGTAACCCTATAACTTTATAAATATATTACAATGTCAATGCCTTTGTCAGTCTGAGAAACTATTATTTAGTGTCCAAGTGGGAACACACGTGCCCCTAGAAAAGGAACTGTAAAAGTGGTTATGGTCCATTTACTTTTAAACTGTTAATTTAAAGAAGTTCCTATACCATGGGTGTAATACTGAAAATTACATGTAATTTTAAAACAGACATCACCTGGAAAAATGACTTGCAGATTGCAGGACATTGTTGAAAATACCCTGATGCCATATGGAGACAATTTATGGACTATATTCACCGTAATGGTAATATACAGGAGAAACAATCACAGTGAATTATTTCCCCTTTCACAGGTATAGATAATATAATAATGGAGCTTGATTTCATTTACAGACTGACAAGCATTAACCTTTATGAGGTGTTGGTGTTTCCAGTGTTAAAAGGAAACTGAAAGTTCATATTGGAAAGAAATTTCATTTGAAATAAAATGTGAAGGGCAGGTCATTTCAGTACCTTAGTTGTAAGATGCAAGCTGGCTTTTACAGATGATGGAAAAGACTTTATAAAGAAAACTAAATGATACTTTGATGATATAACTAATTGGCTTAGCTTTGAGAGGTAATTGACTAAGTTAAGGGACTAACATGAATCTTATCAATAGATTTATCTAGGGAATGTGTTCTTCTCAAACATCAGCAGTGCAAACTTGTCTCAGGACCAAAGGACGATACTTGGTTCCTATCAGTCCTCATAACTGCATCACCAAACCCAAATTAGTTTCCCAGACTATTGGACTATTTTATAAAATAGTATGTGCTTAAATTCATTGCATGAGTTTACATATGCACCAAAAGCTTACAATGAAACTTTTAAACATAGAAGTATCATTTGGGTCAGTGCATATATACCCCCATTATGCTCAGTATTCAGATCTCAGAGGTTTTAGAGATTGAAGGGAATTAAAAGGGCATATTGCAAACATACAGAGACAAAGCATTTCCCAAGCATACGATTATTCACAAAGAAATCTTCTTGTTCTAATTCTTAACAACAGATACATTTATCCTGCAGTAACACTGAACATCTTCTGAGGAGAAATCCCATTCCAAAACAATCTCAAGAGCCACATTGTCACCTCAACCAGAAATTCCCTGGGCTGAATGGGTAAAATTGGAGCCCATTCAGCCCAGCTCTAGCTGGAAGGACTAGCATCAGAGAGGAAAAGGTGAAGGAGCTAAAATAGTCACAAGTGGAGAGATTAAAGAAATGCCTTTGAAGAAAGATGGAGATGGTGAAAATTGTCAAGAACAGCCCTAACTGCTTTACTTAGAGGCTAAGTGCAAACAGGAACAGACAAATAAGTCACACTCTGCCAATTTATGGCAGTATAGGCATTTTGTGGGACATAGGGAAGAAATATTTCAGAAGTGGATGCCCTCCTCAAAATGGACTGAAATCTTCCTTGTGATTAGAAAGGAAATTAAATTTTCTTTTCAAGCCCAATAGGCTTGAAAAATTCCCATCAAAATGCACTCAGCAGCAGAGATAACTGAAAACGCATGTCAAAAAATGTGCAGCAGATGGGTCTGAATTACCTACTTGAAGCGTTGGCTTTATGGGCAACACAGGCAGTCATAACACACCTGCTGATGGGGGTTGACAATGACCTGGCTGACACAGGTTGTCAGGAGGTGAGCAACTAAACATACTTTAATTGACTCAGGGCGTGAGGAAGCCCAGCCTCATACTCACACCCTAAATCAACTAAAATGACAGGTTACATCATAGGGTGTGCTAAGAGAATAAATGAGGCCAGGATGAGAGCCTGTGTTCTTCTTCATAGGCTTTCATGGCCAGTGGTACCCAAGCAAACCAGGTTGGAAGCTCCTAGGTGTAAATCAAAAATATGTGATCACCTTTGAGAATAGAAGTAGTAGGTGCTCAACAGTGCAAATGCTCTTGAATTTCCTGTAGTAATAAACCCCTCTTCTCTATTGCAAGTACTAGCAAAACAAAAACAATGGCTCAGAACAAGCACTGTTCTGAGTTGTCTTTTCCTCAGGTTCTCCTTTAAAGGCAGTGTCTAAATATTGACATTTTATATAACAAATATACTAACAATGCAGTAACACAGCAGCGTTACTTTCTGCAGCATATTTATCAAATCTAGTTTGTAGCTTCTGCTACATCAAAACACTTATGCCAAAAATTCCACAAGAATCCAGAGGAAGTAAACAAAAGCACATAACAGCTTTTTCAGACTTTCTACTGTATTGCTATAAGTGTCTTGCACCATTTACATTATCTCACAGTAAATATTCTGGTCATACAATCCAATTAGTAAATCACAATTCAAGAAGGCTAACTGCTTCATAACAAATATTTCAAGCAACCAGGCCCCATACATATAAACACCAAAATCTGTGTAAATATATGGGGAAAGTAAAGCACGTGAAAACTTGCAGACAAAGCAATAGGCTTATTTATCAAAGCAAAGAGATTCTCAAGTATCCTTAAGCTGTCACCCTACCAGAAGTATATCTTGGAGACTGTTCTCTTAATTCCACCCCATACCTCCTTCTTCCTTTCCCCAAAACAGCAGGGAAGATGGGAGAAAACACATGCTTGGTCAAGAGTCCCATTGGTTTTGCTTGGTCAAGAGTCCCATAGGCAGCTAAAATTTTCCATGGTAGTTTTACTGAAGCCACAACACCACATTCCAATATAGTCCCAAGCACTTGGGAACTGGAATAGATTTTTCTTGCTCTGAGCTCATTTAAAAGGGATTTTTGTCTTCCCTTAGCACTCTGTGCAATCATGCCCACATAAGAAGCCCAAACAGTAAGTCTTCATTTACCAGCAGGGGGCATGAGAGAAAATGGACATTTAACACTAATACTAGGTAATAAGGCTGCTACACAGAATTCAGTGAGCTCAGTGGGGAGCTTTTCATGTACAGTTCCTTCAAACCTCTAATTAGCAGAAGAACTGCACAGAATGTACATACCCCCTGCGTTCTTC